GACAGAGCAAGATTCTGTCTCAAAGGGAAAAAAAAAGAAAAAAGAAAAAGAAAAAAAAAAGAATGTCAAATGAATTAGTGAATGGATGGATGAGTGAATGCATGCATGCGTGATTTGGGGGATGAGAACATTAGATGGCTCTACTAATTTAATCCCAGTGTCTGTGGAAATCAAACACAGGAAACTGCTTTGTGCTTTCTACCAGCCAGCTCACCAACTGAGCCCCTAATGGTGCCTTAGGCTTTACTCAGGAGTTTAATTAAGCCCTGGCACTTGATTCTGAAAGAAATGGAGAACAGTGATGAACACAGGAGAGATCTGGGCAGTAACCAGCCTGGCATATGGCGCCGTGGATCACCCACTGGCCTTAGGGCTGGACTAAGTCCTAGGTAACTTTACTTCTAAATGTTACTCGTGTTTATTCTTTCAAGATGCTAGACGATTAAGACCTTTTCTTGACTACCCAAAACCAAAAAATACGGGCTGCATTTGGATCATTACTGGTGTATGCAGTCATTGGAGATGTAGTGGGAGTAGGGAAAACAGTTCTGGGTTTGGATGCAAAAGACTGAGCTTGACCCCAGACTTTCCCCACAACTAGATGTATGGCCATGGGCAAGCTAGTTCATATTTCCAGGTTTAAACCTATGGTTCAATGAAATGCAGTAAACAACGATTCAGAGGAATTACACAGCGATGTGTTTATAGTAGATACAACATGAAGTTAAAAATACTTGTACTTTCAGGCCTCTCATTGCCCTGGCCCCTTCCAAAGCCCTGTGTCGCATTTTGTTAGACGGTATCACTATCCTAAACCTGGGTCTCATATTAATTTCTTCCAGGTTCAAAATTCTATGTTTCTGGCCAATGAATTTGAAAAAGAACATTTTCTGTTATACAACTGCATTCTATTCCATAACTTGTCATTTTTTATTTTCAAGGACACCACTGCGTCATATATACATTGTTCCTTTCTTTAGGTACTTAGTATGATTTTGGACAAATCTGATACAGAAAATTGAAAGTCTAGATCCCTGGGATTTACTAGTATAATGCTTAAAGTTGAGCCACATTCTCAACTTTATCGTAGTTGAAAATTCTACAGCAAGAATTCTTTAACTGTAAGGTCTATGTTGGGTTACTATGAGTTTTGTTCTAGTCTCATTTTCATTGTTCAGGAGTTCTGGACATCTGATGCTGCCCATGCAATTCTCTTCCTTTCTTTTTCTAGAAGAGCTTTGCGTCTGGCCACTTGGAAGCTGGGCCGTGGGAGCTCCAGGGGTAAACTATGCATTGAGCTGACAGTGCTCAGTAAGACAAATCTTTACTCTGTGACAATCTGGTTTGGATACCTACCCTAATCAAACTGGGAACATCTGGGGAAGACTCAGGAGTTATCTTAATTATAGACACCTCTGACTTATAGTGATTCAACTTGTGATTTTTCAATTTTATAATGGTGTGACGTTCACTTTTAGTAGAAACTGTACTTCGAGTACCCATACAACCATTCTGTTTCTCACTTTCAGTACAATATTCAATAAATTACATGAGCTATTCAACACTTTATTATAAAATGGGCTTTGTGTTAAATGATTTTGCCTAATTGTGCACTAATGTAAGTGTTCTGAGCACGTTTAAGGTAGGCTGGGCTAAGCTATGATGTTTGGTAGGTTAGGTGGACTCAATGCAACCCCCCCCTTTTTTTGAGAGGGAGTCTGGCTCTGTCACCAGGCTGGAGTACAGTGGCGCCATCTCGGTTCACTGCAACCTCTGACTCCTGGGTTCAAGCTATTCTCCTGCCTCAGGCTCCCAAGTAGCTGGGATTACAGGCATGCGCCACCACGCCTGGCTAATTTTTGTATTTTTAGTAAAGATGGGGTTTCATCATGTTGGCCAGGATGGTCTTGATCTCCTGACCTCGTGATCCGCCTGCCTCAGCCTCCCAAAGTGCTGAGATTACAGGCATGAGCCATGGCGCCCAGCCTGCACTTTCAATTTACAATATTTCCAACGTACAATGGACATATAGGGATGAGCACAGTGGTAAGTTGAGGAGCACCTGTACTTGTTGGATAACTATGAGGCTCAATCCCCATGGTTAGTGTTGTACTCTGCTAGCCCAACAGGCTAGAACAGAGAAAGTGGATGGCAGGGGAGGCGAATATCTATGGACTGCACGTCCTTACAATGGGCTCTTTCTTCCCAGACTTCTCAGTCCTCACCACCCCTACACCCTGCCAGCAAAGAACACCCACAGGACATCTGTCTTCAGCTTGCTGTTCAGATCCACTATAAGGGCTTCACCCTGTAGCAACTTGGCTTGGACACTAACCCTAGGCAAACAGGCAATGTTTTTTGAGATAGGGTCTCTTGCTTGTTGTCCAAGCTGGCCTCAGCCTCCAGGGCTCAAGTAATCCTCTGGCCTCCCAAGCAGCTGGGACTGCAGGCACATAACTGTGTGCCCTAAACTTGTAAATTTTGTCTGGTTCAGGAATTCTCTTAATTATTTTGTTTTTCTTGTAACTGGTATTTTGTTCCCTTTGTGAGGAGGGGAAAGGAAGTGTTTATTTATCCTGTTTTGTCATTTTCACCAAAAATGAGGTTACAAATCTACTTCTGACTTTAATTTGTAACAAACCCCAGAATTTTGTTATTGTTTTGCCTCTGACTTTTGTTTTCCCAACGACTTTTGTTTTCCCAACATAAAATCACTTCCACCTCAGATTTACAACCCCTAGGGTCCCTAGAACTCTAAAAATTCCAGATCAGTGGACAGCTTAAAGGGTTTCCTGTTAACATTTACTCTACCTGTCTGAAATTTGCATCTTCCATTGCTCTTTCTCACTTAATTTTAATTTGTATGTGTTTGTTTGTTAGTTGGACTTAAATAGACATTTCATTTTTAACCAGTTTTAAAGTTGCCTTTTATTTTTGGCTCATAATTATGTTTTAGTTTATATTATTTTATTGCCATTTCATTCTCAACCAGCCAGGAGCTGGCCTGGATTAGAAGAACTGGGTTCTAACCTACCCCTCATTGGCCTGTTACATTGTCACACAGGGTGCATTACTTAATTCATCAGACTGGGGCTCAGTCAATGTGATGGCCCCTCTCTTTACGATGTTCTAGTAGCCTATAAATTGGCTTTGTTTTATTCACTCTGATTTCTATGTTAGCATCTTTGGAAAAATTCCTAAACTTATTTGGGAACAAATTGTTATTATATGAGGCTAATGGTAACTAGAAATAACTATAATAATTCCCAAGAAGTTATGACTTTATAAAATATTCATCTTTGGCAATGACCAGAAATGTCTACCTTTACATAAATAAGTGTGTCCACTCTTTTTGGGGCTGGCGGGGAGTCTTCTGACTGGCCTTCATGTGTGGGAATAGCCCCATTCCAAGTGCTGCTTGATTGTAAAATTGGACCAAGCCTGTCGTCACACTGCCCAGTCTTTGGGTAGGGGGAGCTGAGAGATTCTGTGAATAGTGTCAGAAGGGACACGTTTTTGGATAGGGGAAAAAAAAAGAAGCAAGATCCCCAGGTCCCCTGATTTTAGCCGTGACGTAGAAAAGCTCCACACAGACCCTCCTCCCTTCCGCCCTGGCACAGAGTCCCGTTGTCCTTTCATAGGCGGTGTCAGAAACCCTGTGGTGAAATTCAGCTTGTGGATTCCAGAAATTTGGAGTGTTCTTGGGGGGAAAAATCCACACACACAAAGCAACATTTGGAAATCCCTGTGGTGAGTTGGGAGGTGGGGACGGGATGCAGTGTGGGAAGGTTGGAAGGGAAAGCGCCGGTGTACATCCCTCCCTCTTCTCTCCAGGGCTCTGAGTGTCAGGGCTGAGATGAAGATGACACCCTGGCAGAGGAGGAGGCAGGGTACTGGGGGCGGGGCATGGACATTGAGGTCTGTGCTGAGCTTTACAGTTTGCAAGCACTTTCACGTTATCTTGTGGGGGTAGATCAGTGGCTCCATAGCCATTTTATAGGCATAGACATAGAATTTTACGGTGGTTAAATAAATTTCCTAAGACCACATGGTTGAAAAAAAAAAAAAGTAGAGACACACCCAAATCCAAAAATTTTGTGCTGGAAGGTTTTCATGCCATAAAACATTTCCATCTCCGTTTATCATTGATCCCACAAGTTCTACTACTTAACTTTAATTTCTTTGGAAGCTTAACTGACTTTTTCCTTCTATAGGACATCTGCACTTAAATTCTTCAGGAAGTATTATGCCTGAGTGTGGCTACTCCCTACCTGAGAGCAGCTTCCTATAAGGAGGAGCTTCTCAGCAGGCAAGGAGAGAGACAGCTGGAGAAAGGCCAGGCATGGCGAGCAATTGTGGGCCACCCAAGGGCCTGGACTCTCAGGGTGTGATAACATGGTGGTAGAGGTTTGGGAAGAGGCCCAGAGACAGCGGCCCTGGAGGCCACTGCAAGGGAAAACAGGAAGGTCAAGTTCCTTCTTCAAACCAAACCAACTAAGCCCTGTCCAGGGCCCTTCCTCTGGCTCCAGCATTCATTTGGTGCAGAAGAAAACACTGAATTCCTTGGAGCCATTATTGAGGCTTGAAAGTTTGGAAGCTCTATGTTAAGCAGCATTTTAGGGACAGTTCAGCCAGAAGTGGATGTATTCCCTACAGACATAAAATTCTAGAAACTGCATTGTTTCCTAATGGGATCACTGGTTATGGACTCATGGAGCTGAAAAAGTCTCCACAGTGGGAGAGAAACTGAGAGGTGCTGAATCCAGCTGGTGAGACCCAGCACAGTAGGGGCTGGCTCAACGCCACCAGTGAGTTAGTGTCCCCTAAGGTTGTTACAGTCAAATGCACTTGCAAAGTCATAGTGGGAAAGCGGGGAGTGGGGGTGATGCAAGGATAGAGAGCATTTTGTCAAGCATCAGATTATGACAAGGCCTCTTCCTAAAAATTAAGAATGTGATGACTGAAAGGGGCCTAGGATATATTTGGAGGTGGTACTGGCATTTGAGTATTTCTAGTTTGCTTTTATTATCTGGATGATGAACAGTAACAGCAGCATCAGCAACAAACTCTTACATAAAATGTATCTCTAAATGCCAAAGCAGTTTGTTTCTCTAAATATAGCATACAAAAAGAGAGAGGCATTTACATAAAGTGACTCACTATTAATTGTCACTTGCGCTTCCCAATCAGGTAAGGGTTGCACGGTTCAAGCGAAAGCCTCCACTGGCTGCTTGTTCTCTGCTCAGCTCTTGGGCACAGACACCTGCCCTGCCTTGTGATGAGGACGCCTTCCTCTGACAAAGGCAGAAATCTCCATACTCACTGAAAGCTCCTTTCCATGTACAGGGAGGCAGGCAGGGGCGCGCAGGTTTCCACTCAGCCTATTTCAAGCCCAGCCTAAGCAGCCCCTTTGCCTGTGGAACCAGGTCCGACCCCTGGCCCGTGGCGGGAAGGCCACACCAGATGCAGATGTGGGATGGGAGCTGTAGCTCCATCTTTTCATTCTCTTGCAGAAGGGGATGAGTGTGGTGCTCCCTGGCTTAGCAGCTGCTCTCAGGAATTTTATTTATCATGTTTTTTTTTCCTAAACAGCATTTCTTTCCATTTAGTTCACAGGATGTTGATGGGTTTCTCTTCCTTTTGGGGCCCCTCCCTGTCGATGAGAGTCCAGGCCTCCCCCTTCCCAGCGTAGTCCAGCCTGCCTGGATATTCTTTCATGGGCCTCTGGGGCCAGAGGATGAGTCCCTAGTGCTGTCCATCTGCTCTGTGAATGTCTGTTCAGTTCAGTACACGTTCACTGAAGAGCCGCCCTGGGAGGATCCAGATTAGGCCTGGAGAATATAGCAATGGAAATGTTTGATACCTGACTTCATGGAGCCTGTAGACCAATGAGGGACACAAGTGGGATCTTAAAAATCACCTACAAGACAGAGAGAGATATGATCAAGTTAGAAGGTCTTTTCTTAAAGAACTCAGAGATAATCTACCCCTAGATATGCAGACGAAATTAGAGCCAAAGGGGGTGGATGAACTGGTTTGAGGACTCTAAGGATGGCACAAGTGATTTCAAATCGAAAGATGGGGAAGGAGCTCCTGGAGAAGGTGGCAACTGGGCAGGGCATCATGAGGGAAATTGGATTGTGGCAGAGGGAGAAGAGTGAGCAGAGGCTGGGAAGGAAAGTGTGGTGGGCTCCCTCCGCCAACAGTAGGCAGTCATGGGGGGTCTAGGGGCATGGTGGGTGGATGGGGAAAGGTGCTCACAGGGTCCATCAGTGATGATTGTGAAGAGCCTGAATTCCATGTGCAATGGAGAGGCACTGGTGGGTCACAGATGACTTCTATGGGGGGCTTGGCCAGCAGTGTGCAGGGTGGTTGGGAAGAACAGGTCTAGTTCAAAGGCTATAGCTTGGATGTGGGCAAGAGACAGCAAGGTCCTGGAGTAAGCTGGCTGGAGTAGGGAGACAGGAATGGGTTGAAAGCACAGGGAAGAGAGAACCCACCCATTGGGTTCCAGCTGCACTGTACAGGCCACGAGCCGCAGGTGGCTCTCGAGCACTGGAGTGTGGCTGGTCTGAATTGAGATGTGCTCTAAGGATAAGACACACACTAGGTTTTGAAGGCTTGATGTGAAGAATGTACAATTCTCAATCATTTTAAAAATATTGATTACATGATGAAATAATTTCATTAGAATATACTGGGTTGAATTAAATATATTAAGATTAATTTCACCTGTTTCTCTTTTTAATCTGTGTGTTACACAATTTAAGATTACTTACATGGCTCACATTCTATCTCCATGGACAGCACTGGGTTAGAGGGGAAGATAATAAGGCAAAGTTTTGGGGACAGGAGGAACAGGGCTGAGAGGAAAACCTGAGAAGTGGGGTTAAGGAAAGAGGAGAGATGATGCAGATTTGGTATCTTCCCAGATTGAGGCAGCTTTTGGGCCTCTTGGGGCCACAAGGAGCTTCAGAAGTTGCCGGTGTCTTTACCTGGAGCACCTGGAATGTCCCTCTGGCCTCCCCAGTCACCTGGCACCTAACCATGTGCTGGTTTTTTTTTTTTTTTTTTGAGACAGAGTCTCACTCTGTCGCCCAGGCTGGAGTGCAGTGGCGCGATCTTGGCTCACTGCAATCTCTGCCTCCCAGGTTCATGCCATTCTACTGCCTCAGTCTCTCAAGCAGCTGGGACTATGGGCACCCACCACCATGCCTGGCTAATTTTTTGTATTTTTAGTAGAGACGGGGTTTCACCGTGTTAGCCAGGATGGTCTCGATCTCTTGACCTCGGGATTCACCAGCCTCAGCCTCCCAAAGTGCTGGGATTACAGGTGTGAGCCACCGCGCCCAGCCCCATGTGCTGTTTTGTGCTTGACTGTTGCTTACCTGTGTCTCTGAGTCCTTGCCTCGCCAGATGGAAAGCCTTCTCAGGGCAATGCCATTGTATCCTGTCTGTTCTATCCAGTGCTTACTTCACCCAGGCCTGGGGGTAGCAGGAGCTCCCTGGAACTTGGCAAACATCCTTATATTGGGAGGAGCTTGGCTGGTTTTCCTTGATCTCCCTCTTCCCAGTGTGTGGCTCTTGACAACTGATTTGACCCCAGATTTAAGGTAAGACTGTATGATGTGATGCTCACAGTATGCACATGATGCAGCTGTGAGCAGGGATGGGAGCCGAGGATGGTGCCTGGGCACAGAGGGGAAGAGCATTGGATGGGGAGATCTGAGTTGGAAGGTCAGCTCCTCAAGGGTCTACTCATTGGAGTCTCCACATCTGTGAAAGGAGGGGATGATATCTACCTCCTAGTATTGTAGGAACTAAGAGTTAATATACGTTAACAAAGGATGGCTGGCATTCAAGTGTTGCTCTGTAACCCACAAAAGGTGTTCACATCCATGAGCTCATCTGAACTTCACAGTAGGGCAGGCATTATTATAATTTCCATTGACAGACAAGAAACCTGAGGTTCAGAGAATACAAATGACCTGATAGAGATCACCTGACTATTAAGGTAGAGCTGGGTCTGGAGCCCAGCCTGACTTCTGCCACTGTCTTTTGTTGTCCACTTAAAAGAGCAGCTTGCACACATGCAGGGTTACATAGGCTTCAAAGGCCTGTCATGCCCATTAACTGCTTATTCTTCCTAGAAGGATGCATAAGCCCAAAGTTTTGCTATATATGAAGACATGATTTTCATGAGATTCCTGCAGCCAATGAAGAAGCAAGCCTTCAGTAATCATGTGGATCCAATGGTTTAACTGTCACCTGTGGGTGACGGGTGATGGATTATGAGGATTAGATAAGAGCTATTTGTAAGAATGTCTACAAGGTACAGTGACAGGCTCTGGTCAGATATTTTCATCATGCTACAGTGCATGAAAGTGTTTGTAAGAATTTCATCATGCTACAGTGCATCTGTATCTAACAGGATCTGCTTATATCTTCAGAAAACTTTGTCATAAATTTAAATTACTTAAAGTGTCTGATCTTCAGATACTTTAGTGCATTTGAGAATTGGAATGTTGATTACAGTATGTATAGGGAAATAGATGAATATTCCATTAATAACTATTAAAATCTGCTAAAGCTTAGGTCAAGCTGAATATATTTAGTTATAATAAAATTGGGTGAACACATTCCAACTTCAGCCTGATTAAGGGAAAGGGTGTAGGGGTGAGACACTTAGGCGGAGCCTGAAAAGGAATGGTGAGAGTTTGGCCAATGGGAAGGGAGGCTGTGCCAGACAGGAATCATGTGGGCTGATGACAACTGAGGGCAAACTGCTTGTCCCCTCATAGTTGCGCAATGAATGCAGAGGGGCTGAGGTTCATCTGTCGCCTTCAGCTCTGCAGGCTACATCTCAGGGTGTTTCCTGTGAAAGTTCCAGAAGAAAGCTGTATGGTCAGCTTGGGGAAATATGTGGTTCATGCTGGAACGCTGGACATACCACATTATTGGAAAGATGCACATTGAATGACTGACAAAATGAAACTCAACTTTCCAAATGCTGGTAATGAGAGAAGATTCTGTTCTAACGACCAGTTGTTTCCTGAAAGAATGTCAGCTCGATTCATAATTAATGCATTCTAACCATGACAGCCACAGTCAGGACACACAAAACAAAGTGTCCTTGATCCCAGGAAACAGCCCTCTAGAATCTGTGAACTCTAGAAACTAGATTGGGAAAACTCTGACACCCCTGCCCCATGACCAACCAAGACTAAGAGTCCCAGGAAGATTGAGGTCACAGAAGGCGGGGGCCTGCCCCCTGTCCAGGAGATCCCTGACCCATGTGGGGTCATGGGCAGGGCATGAGTGATGTGATTGCTGGAGGGGAAACTGGCTCCTGGCTCCAGGTAGAACGTGACCAGCTGGAACCTGACAGGAGGTCCCTGGCACTGGTCAGCCCATCAAATCAGGTAAGTTCTTGGAGTCTGAGTAGGGACAGGAGACTGTTCTATGCTTTGGCAGGGATCAGGAAGATTTTAGAATGTGGTTGATGGAACTTGTCTTTGGAGTTGAACAAACATGGCTTTGCATCTCCACTTTGCTATCAACTGAGTGGCTTTGAGTAGGTGGCTTCATTTCTTAGATACTCAGTTTCTGCATCTTCACCTATAAAATAAATATATTTTTAATTTTTTTAGACTGCTGAGGGCAGTAAATTAGACTATGTACATAAAGCACCCAGCACTGTGCTAGACACATTGATACTTATTCCATAGTGGGATAGCACCACAGCTGTGATAGCCTTGTGAGGGGAGCTACACAGGAGGCCCATGGAGTGGGCTCTGAGTTAAGGATAGGTCCAGATCCTAGACTTGTAGCAACCCCCAAAACCCCCTCTTGAACCTGTTGGGGTGTGATGGGGGTGGGGAGATATAGTCCTGTTCTCTGGCTGTGTCTGCCCCAGATTCTCTCAAAGAGCACAAAACTGAAAGATAGCACTGGACCAAGGGTCAGGAGAATTGAGATGGGCTCTGCCACTCCCTGGCTGGGTGACCTTGGACAAGTCCTTCAACCTATTGAGGTCTGGGCTTCTTCATTTGTACATTGGAACAAGATTATCTGCTCTGTCACAGGATGAACTCCAGCCTCATTAGCCTGGCATTCAAGAGCCTTCCATCATACTCCCTCACCACATCTCTTCATGCCCACATTGTTCTGTCATATCAAACTCTTCTGGGCACTTCTTTCACCCCTAGACAGAATGTTCCTGCATTCTGTGTAGGGGTGAATGCTCTTGCCCAAGTCTCTGTGTATCTAAAGCCCATATACATTTGCATCCCCTGCAGCATCTAGCACAGGGGCTTGCATAAAGCAGATCATTGTTTTCTCAGTTAGGATTAGGTTTGGGACAGGAAAACAAACACAATAGTTATTTAGCAAGTTAGAAGTGATTTTTCTCTTGCCAGGTGCGGTGGCTTATGCCTGTAATCCCAGCACTTTGGGAGGCTGAGGCGGGTGGATCACGTGGTCAGGAGATCGAGACCATCCTGGCTAACCTGGTGAAGCCCCGTCTCTACTAAAAATACAAAAAAAAAAAATTAGCCGGGCGTGGTGGCAGGCACCTGCAGTCCCAGCTACTCGGGAGGCTGAGGCAGGAGAATGTCATGAACCCAGGAGGCAGAGCTTGCAGCGAGCTGAGATCATGCCACTGCACTCCAGCCTGGGTGACAGAGCGAGACTCTGTCTCAAAAAAAAAAAAAAAAGAAAAGAAAAGAAAAAGTGATTATGCCAAAGGATCCTAAAAGGAGGATAGCCCAGGACTGGGAAGGTAGCTCCTTTTGTTGGGGACCCATGCTCCCTCTGTCTTGCCACACCAGCACTCTTGGCACCTTACCCCATAGTCCCATATGGCTGCCTGGGTTTCAGACATCTTATTCTCATTCAGCCAGCAGAAGATGAAGAGGGCAAAGCATGTATTCTCTTCCTTGAGGGAGGCTTCCTAAATGCTGCACATGACACTTCTGCTTATAACTTTTTGGCTACAATTTAGTCACATGGTCATATCTAGCTGCAAGAGAGGCTGGGGAATATAGTTTTTAACTGCACATATTGCCCTTCCTTCCTTCTTTCTTTTTCTTTTTTTTGAGACAGGGGTCTCCCTATGTTGCCCAGGCTGCTCTCCAACTCCTGGGCTCAGGCAATGTACCCACTTTGGCCTTCCAAAGAGTTGGGATTACAGGGGTGAGCCACCATGCCGGGCCATATTGCCATTTCTAATAAAATTGATAGGGGTGGCTGGGAGAACAGATATTGGCAACCCATACAGTTGCCTCTGCCGCAGTTACTGAAAGCATAAAAAATATAAAAACTCACTAAGAAGTTTAAAGTCTTATCTAATACATGAGATTATTATTACAAAACACTTCACTCATTTTAGGTAAGTTAATTGTCCTGACTTTTAGGTTGAAAACAGCCCAATTTTTCTTCACCTCTAGTGGAAATATGGTGACATATTTTTTCTTTTTTCTTTTTTGTAGAGGCAGAGTCTCGCTATGTTGCCCAGGCTGGTCTTAAACGCCTGGCTCAAGCAATTCTCCTTAGACTCCCAAAGTGCTGGGATTACAGACATGAGCCACCGTGCTCAGCCAACATACTTTTTTCATAGAATAATAACTCAGAGTTGTAAGTGAAGATAAATTATTGGTTCTTCCCCTTGCCTTACCACATTTTGCTACTGAGGAAACTGAACTCCAGTGAGGCTAAGTGATGTGCCTATCATGGCACAGCTGAATGGCGAAGGAACCAGAACTGGAACTTAAGTTCCTGGACTCCATCAGGGCTGTTTCCTTGATGAGCAGCCCATTCGGGTTCTGCTAACTGTCACTCGGAGGCCTTGAATTCCATGCATCTCCTAACCCTGCATGAGGGCCCTGCTCTGCCAGCACCCCTGGAGGCAGATCCAGGTCACCGTGTTGTCAGCCACATTCCTGCCAGTACGTAGTTCAAAAACTTTCCATCTGAAGAGAGGGAAACATGAAGAAATAGAGGAGCATGCTATTAAAATAACAAGGCTTTTTTGCTAAGAGCAAACAATCACTTCCTTTCCTTGGCACCCAGAATCTGCAGGGCCCTGAATTAGGCACTGAAGGGAGATCCAGGGAAGCAAGAGGAATGGTCACTGCCCTTGAGGGCCTGGATGTATAGGTTCATTCTACTTTTCATCCATTTATTCAAGAATTATTTCTTGAGCCTCTACTAGCAGCAGACACTGAGCCTGGCACTGGGTTTAGAGCAAGAACCATGTAACTGGGTATACAACAGTAAACTGTGCAGATATGGTTCTTGCTCTAAAATTGCTTGTAGTCTAGTGAGGGACAGAGGCAAGTAAACAGGCAACTACAAAATGGAATGAAGATTGCTGTGATGGGAAGATTGCAGTGATGGAATGAAGATTGCAGTGATGCAATTACAAAATGGAATGAAGATTGCAGTGATTACTTTGGGTGTAGACTGGGATGGCGTGGCAAGTCCGAGTGGGTGAGATATCATTACAGTGGAGACCTGAAGACTGAGTATGTGTAAGCTAAGCATGCACCGAGAGGGGTGTGGCAAGTGGGAAGGAAGTGTATTCCCCGTGGAGAGAATGTGCAGGAGCACGCATAACCTTCTGACCAGACTGCGGCAGGCCTGGGTGATGGTGGTGGTAAAGGTGGGGAATGTTGAGAAACACCAGAAAGGTAGGCAGGGGCCCATGAGTGAAGGACTTTGAAAGCCTGTTGGAGAGTTTCTGTGTTATCTCAAGGCCAGTGAGATAAAGGACTTGAAGCAGCAGATTTGTATGTTAGAGTCCTCTGGCCTCAGGATATAGAGTAGATGAAAGCAAGCAGGACTGGATTCAGAGAGGTCAATTAGGAGCTGTTGCTGGGATAGTGGCTTGAACCAGGAAACAGCCCAGAGAGGTGCAGAGAGGTTGAGGAATTTGAGACTACTTTAAGAGCTACAACCAACAGGTTTGGTGACTGGGTTGGAAGTAGGAAATGAGGAAAATGGAGGAAACCAACATTTATGAAGAAACAAAGACAGAGGGTAACAAAAACAATAGCCTTACTCCGGGAAGAAAATGGCGGCATGACCATGTATTTTGAGCAAGGAAAAATCGCTGTAGGCTACAGAGGTTTTGAAGGACTTTCTAGAAGAGTTAGAATTGGAGCTGGTCTCAGATATGGGTAGGATTTTGGTGGGTAGAGAGGACATTCCAGGCTAAACAATGATGCAAGTTAGAGTTCTAAGGCAGAACAGGGTGTGATTTGTTTAGCATGATTTGGTCATGGTTTTCTTGGGAGACTCCCAAAGAGCTGATTCTCCAGGGGGTGCTAACTAAAACTCTTATTGAAAGGAGGGATTACAGAGACGAATTTCATCACTCTCCCAGAATGGCACAGAGCTCTTCATGGACCCCTGGGCCACCTGTGTAGGAACCTTAAGGGGTCAGTGGATCACTAAACAGCCCAGCCTGCCTGAGACCCTCATAGACAGTGGCTTCCACCACGACAAAGACAAAAAGTCCCTCTTTCTCAAAATCAATACTTTCATTCTCATAGGCCTCCTGCTGTGGTCCAGTCCCCATATTGAGAGCTGCCATCCCAGGGTGTTGCTTCACTACTTCTAGGCTCCGGCAGAGTCCTGCCTCGCAGGCTGCACTGGTGAGTGAGGCCTGCAAACCCATCAGGGAGACTACGTGAATCCAAGGCCATGGAAGACTTAGGTTTGGTACTCCCGCTGCTCCTTCCTGGCTGTGTAACCCTAGAATAATTATTCAACCTCTCAAAACCGAGACTCAGAGAAGTTGGGTATTCTAGGGTCACACAGCCAGGAAGCAGCAGAGGGAGTACCCAAACCTGTCTGTCTGACAGCAAAGCCTGTTCTCTCCATCTGTCCAGGTTCCTAAGCCAGGTGAGGGCTGAACCTCCTTTCTTGAATCAAGATTCCAATTCCTAGGTAGGAAAGCACAGTGAGTCAGGGAAATGTTTATACTGAGACCACACACCCCAAGCCCTTTCCCAACCTGCTCTTGTGTGATCCTTTTGAGCTTTTTCGTTTGTTTGTTTTGAGATAGAGTCTCACTCTGTCGCCCAGGCTGGAGTGCAGTGGTATGATCTCGGCTCACTGCAACCTCTGCCTCCTGGGTTCAAGTGATTCTCCTGCCTCAGTCTCCTGAGTAACTGGGATTATAGGTACCCGCCACCATGCCTAGCTAATTTTTGTATTTTTAGTAGAGACAGGATTTCACCATGTTGGCCAGGCTGGTCTTGAACTCCTGACCTCAAGTGATCACCCCGCCTCAGCCTCCCAAAGTGCTGGGATTACAGGCGTGAGCCACTGTGCCTGGCCTTGAGTTTTTTATAGACGGGAAAACTGAGGTCCAAACATGAGCAAGGGCTCCACATGCTACCTCTCTATTTTCTCAGCCCCTTCTGCAGGCTCCATGCCATAAGAACATGGCTCCTAAGGTTCAGGCCTATGGCCCCAGTTTAGGTGGTGCCTCCACTCTGCTCCCCCCAACCCCAGCCTCCTATTTGAAGGCCAAGACTACTCAGCTTTGATTCAGGTTAAATGAGTCATCAAGGGTAAAACAAAGAAGAAAATAAAACAAAGAAGAGAAGGCCTATTCCCTTGCAGATGAAATGAACCCACCCACCTTTTGACATCTTTTTGTTCTGGAATGATGACAGCATGCAATGACTCAGAATCATCACACTCACAGAGACTACTTTGTATTTTTTCTTGAAAATGAAGAGACAATATGCCAAAAAATGAGCTGAAAATGGCTCATGAAGGGAGGGGAGAATGACCTCGAGCACACCAGGGCAGAGTGGGGGCTACACGAAGGTGCAAGACTGGGAGGGAATCGCAACGCCTTGGCAGAGAGGAGAGCAAGTGGGGGCCAAGCCGCAAAGCTCTTCAAGGCCAATCAATGGTGAAACCTGAAGGAGTCCCATCCATCCCCAAGTCTGCTTGAGTTAAAGCCCTGCACCCTCACAAGCAGCTGGAAGGAGGGGAGGAAAGATATTTTCAAAAGAGCCATCGTATGTGGGGTGTGGGAATGAAAAACTTGCTGTGTCTAACACCAGAGAGCCTCTCCAAGCCAAGCCACCTGCCTCAGGGCAAAGGAGGGAATGGAAGCGGGACAGACGAGTCTTGGAGCCAGCTCTCAGCACTGTACTTCTGTCTGGAGAAATGAGCTGAGAAGATCTGAATCTTCTCCAGCCTGTTCTGCAAATGTGAGACAATCGGCCCCTGGCCCAATGACTGGTGCTCACAGCGTGGCTCGGGCATTACCCAGGACTCTGGTTCTTTGTGATAGGAAAGAGGACAAATTTGGAAGCCAGACAAGCTAGGGCTGGATGGTCTGGAGGAAAACGTCTACTTCTCTCAAACTGTTTCTTCTGAAGAAACAGATGATTGCAACCTCAGAGGCTGGGAGGATGAAATGATGTAATGCATGGGAGCTGCTCTGTAAACTGTAAAATGCTATGCAAACGGTGCTTGTTAACGTGTTTACACATGTGGGTGAGTTAACACAGTCTGACAGACTGGATGCCAAACTCAGAGTCCAAGGCAATAGGGGCATTATATTCTGTGCCTTAGCATCTGGAAAACATGATGAAATTGGAAATGCATTTATTGAAAATGAAAAGTTTTCTACAGAGCTTCCTGTCCTTTCCAATGCATTCCAGGCTTCCCATGGTGCTTGCAGGGCTCCGCCGGAAGCGGCTGGGAAAGCTGACTTCCATTCCGGTTGCTATGAAACTCCATTTTTGGTTCTGTTTTGTAACCATCTTCATTTCAGTCACTTGCACCATTATAAGGATTGAAAGACTCTTGGAAGAAAAGTAGTTTTTTGTTTCATAGCATTAGGGTTTGATACATAATATCATTTTTGAACAGAAAAAGTTCACATAGGAGTTGATAAAGGGTTGGTATTTTAGAGCTGAAGGGACTTAGAAGACTGTCTAGTTCAACCCTGAGATTTTTTTCAGGTGAGGAACTGAGGCCCAGGCAGAAGGACTGGTTTTCTCCAGCTCTCACACATGTCAGTGAGCCAGGGTTAAAATCACCAGAGGTCTGACTCGTATTCATGTGCCCCTTCCCTTACCTCAGGGTCAAAAGCTCAGACGCTTTCAGAGTCCAGATAAGTGAGGAGGAGGGCATTGGCAAGTAGGAAGGTAAGGAGTTGTGAGATGTTCAGTTCTGTTTATGTTGATCCTGTTAAAGGTTTAAGGAGCTGCTTGAATATTAAATTTACGTCAGTTGTCAAATCTGGGAAGTTTTCAGCCATTGTTTTTTCAAACTTTTTTTCTGTAACAATCTCTTTCTCCTTGCCTTTAAGGATTCCAATGACATGAACATAAGACCATCTAGTATTGTCCCACAGATCCCTGAAGCTTTATTCATTATTTTCCAAACACTTTTCTATCTTTCAGATTGGATCATTTCTGTTGATCTACCTTCTAGTCTACTGACACTACCTCTGTCATTTGCATTCTGCTATTGGGCTCATCTCATCCAGTGAATTTCAGATATTGTGATTCTCAGTTCTAATATTGCCATTTGGTTCTTCTTTTATATAGTTTCTATTGCTTGACTGAGAATTTCTATGTTTCCATTCATTGTAAGAGCATTCACCTTTATGTCACATAGGATGATTATAATAGATGCTTTGGAGTTTTTTTTTTTTTTTTTTTTCTGTAATTCCAATATTGTCTTATCTTTTCCCTTGAGAACTGGTCATGTTTTCCTGGTCCTTATCACATTGGGTAGTTTTAAATCGTATCCTGGACATTTCATGTAGTACATTATGAGACTCTGGGTCCTGTTAAAATCATAAAGCATGTTGAGTTTTGTTTTGTTTTAGCAGGCAATCAACCCCGTTAAGTTCAACAGCAAGTTCTGTCTCATTACTCCTGTAGGCAGTGGTCTCAATGTCAGCTCACTTTTCAAAGCCTTTGTTAAGCTGTTTGTGTTCCACACGTGCACGTCTTGGGGGTGAGCTCAGGACTTGTGTTGGCTCCTACATGAAGTCTCTTTCTCCCGCTCTTTCCTCTGAAAGATTTCTCTCTTGCAGGAAAAGGACCAGTTCCTTTTCCTGGTCCTCTAGCTAGAAGGATAGATTTCTCTCAGAGCTGGAGCCGCTGATGATACCACAAACTTTCATTCAACTTGGCCAGACCTTAGAGCAAAGTGCAAGAGGAAAAAAGTGAGGACTCTCCTGACACTCTTGACATTAACGGGGACCCCTTTTCTGAATTTCTCTACCCAGAGGGACAGGTTTTCTCTCGAGATTTTAGTGCTCAAGCTGCTGCCAAGGTGGTGGCGGTGCAGTTTGGGGGCTGCATCTGACTGTGGGGCTGAGCTGAGAGAGAAAAAAAGACAAAGATTTTCCCCACGTTTTCTGTCTGGCAGGGGCCCCTTTTCTAGATTATCTATCCAGAAAGATGGGCCATTTCTTGGCATTGTTGCTGTCCATGACTGCTGGGAGGTCTCATGATTCAGCTCACCCTTGGGTCAAAGCCAGGAGAAAACAAATTCCAGGAAATTCACCATATTGGTCATTCAGCAAATTTTGACTTCTTTTTGCAATCTAGCTGCTTTTAGAGGACTTTTCAGAGACCTTGGTTCTTTTTTTTTTTTTTTTTTTTTTTGTATTTTGTTAAGAGTGTTTGGTTGTAATCATGAGGGAGATAGTGTGCAATGCATGCCTTCCATTTGGTTGGAACTAGAAGTTGAGCAACACACTTGGAATTCATCTTTTTTGGTTAGTGTATCCCCAGGACTTTCATAGACAGAATCCAAAAATAGAACCTGTATTTGAGAATCCTATATTCCCTGGCCTGGTGGTGGCAGGTCCCAGGAGTCTATGGCTCCAAGTTTTCTACCTGATTTGGGTAGACACGTGAAACAATGCTCATTCAACAAAGAGGTAGTGGGTGCCCACCATATGCTATATCCTGGAGACACAAAAATCACGAAGACATAGTGCCCACCCTCAAGGAGCTCATAGGCCAGTGGAATAAAGGGATTTGCAGTAAAAATTTAGGATCCAAGCTTGAAAGCTTCTTTCCCAAGACATCTTGTGGGTCCCAGAACCACAACATATTGTCAGAGAGCAATTTCTAGCCTGATTCTGGAGCTTTGCCTTTCTAGAAACTTCTATCATTGCTTCTCTCCTCTGAGGGGAACCAATAGCAAAGCACTGTATATTAAAAAAACAGTATATAAAATGCTCCTTTTGTTTTGTGAACTCTACAAATGCCTAGATTACCTGTTTGTAACAGTCTTCTTGCCTACTAAACATAGACTTAGAGAACACAGTCTGGTTTAGGGCTCCAGAACTCAAAAGGGAAGTGAAGACAATGGAGAGTGTTCAGTTAGCACCTTTAGTAGATCGAATCTGATATTTAAAAATAAAGAGTGGGGGAGATGGGGGCCATCTGCCAAGGAGATAATCCTTCATAAAGCAGATTAACCATATCTTTGTCTTAGTTCAAATCACTATAACAAATTACCATAGACTGGGTAGCTTAACCAACAAACATTTATTTCTCATAGTTCCGGAGGCTAGAAATCTGAGATCAGGGTGCTAGCAGAGACAGGTTCTGGGGAGGGTCTCTGCCAACTTTTGCTGTATTCTCATATAGTGGAAAGAGAGCTAAAAAGTCGTCTGGTACCTCTTCTTATAGAGGCACCAATCCAATTCATGTGGGCTCCACCCTCATGACCTAATCACTTCAAAAGGCCCCACCACCTAATACCATCACACTGGGGATTTGATTTCAATATGTGAATTGTGGGGGAACACACTCAGTCCATAACATTCCCCCAGCCCACCTCTGCTGCCTTTTCTCTTTGAAAGCACTTACCTTCTCTTTCTGCATTGATGTAATGCCAGAGCATTGGATCTGGGAAAGGAGGTAAAGGTGGGAGGGAAGCATCGGGGTTCAGCCATTTAGGTAGCACAAGTAGATGCCATGCACCAACAAGGGTACCCTGTGCATGAGTTATCTTACCACCCTTACAGCAATCCAGCAGGTCTGTGTGATAAGTGTTGTGTTTCCTGTGTGGTATACGAGGAGACCGAGACTCTGAAGTGTTGTGATTTTTCTCAAGCTATTAGCTGGCAAACTGTAGACTAGAATCCAGGTCTCCTGAGTGTGGGTTCTATTTATCTAGTTTACCTACTGCACCAGCCTTTAAGACTTTGGGGTCTGAATATGTACCTCTTCATACCACTAGAGCCCCAGCAGTCTCCTAAGTGACATGTGAGCCATACTGGGGAGGAGTGTGGGGAAAGGAGACCTTACCACTGACAGCAGAGTCTGGGGGCTCACGAGAGAGGAAGATGCCCACTTGGAAGCCAGATCCCAGATTCTTTAGACCTATATCTCCCTGGAGTATAATTCAATCAAGTGCTTTTCCCCCTCTTTAAAAAAAGCTAAAATGGTGCAGAAACTAATTATGAAACAAAGGAAGAAAAAACAAGGGAAGGCAGGGATTATTTCCCAGGACATTTTCCTCTGACCAGGAGGGTAAGTTGGGTACAGAGGACAGACTTGGTGGGGATCAGAGGCAGCCCAGGGGAGAAGAGTCATCCCTTCTACTCTCCCACCTGTCCTCATTGCTGGCTGTGACCCAGATGAGAGCTGGGGGCATTGACATGGGAGGCTTCTCTCCTTCCTGAGTGGTCAGTGAGGGGCAGCTTCTCCTCCTACTCCAGGAGGGTTGGGGGAACCTGCATGTTGCATCTCAGAGCAGCCAGGGCTTCTTCTTGCCAGTCTCCTACCTTCCCTTTCTGGCTCGTTTCCTCCCACCTCCTCATGCCCTCTTTCTCATTTAATAGCATGGAGAAAGGAAATGAAACTTGATGGAGCCCGACTGTGCCAGGCACTGTTCCAAGAACTTTGTGTTCGTTTGTTTCTAGAAAAAAGAGGGCTTGGTATACTGTAGATGCTCAATAAATGTTAGCTCTTACCTTTAGTGTCTCCATGTCCTTCATTTTACTGATCTCCAGGCACAAGGCAGCAGTTGATGGCTCAGTTTCACAACTGCTGCAGAGAGGAGGCAAGAACAATGTCAAGTGGTTGGGTGGGGGAAGATGAGACTGGCATTAGGGCTAATCACACACATTTCTCAGGGTGCTCCTCTTTTGAGGCCCTATTTCCATGAGAAGGAAATTGAGGCAAACCCAGAAGCTGACAGCTTAGCTGGGAACCAAAGATGATGATATATGGAAGCCCATGGAATCTCAGGGCTCAAGCAGCACCTTTTGGCACCCACCTGCACCCAAAGAGCATCTTTAAAAGTTGTCTCATACTTGCTGCAGGCAGCTCTTTCACACCATTACCATGCTCTGTGCCAGACATGACTAATTTTTTAAATCTCTGACACTCTTAATTAGTCATGAGCTAATTCTGTAAGAATGTTAGAGTAAGCACACCAAAATTATATTCTTCTGCAAAGAGAAAGAAGATTGCCTGAGACCACTTGTCCCCCCTCAAAGAAGCAAGGTCCCAGCCCAAACCTTTGAAGCTTTGTGACATCAATAGATTTTCTCGAGTGGCATCATGTCCTTTTGATTTTTCTATATATTGTATTTTGAATGCCACCTTCTCCTCTCCTTTCCACTGCCACTGCCCTGGCTGGGTCCTCATCAGTGCCATAAACTCTCACCAGGTTCCCTGCCACCAATCCAAACAAAACCAAACACTACTAACCATGGATCTTCATGGCACATTTGCTTTTGTTGGCTCCAAAAGCCTTCAGTGGTTTCCATTGCAGATTGGAAAGGTCTAGACTCAGCGATCAAAACTTCCACCATTGATTGCTTTTCCAAACATCTCCCCTACTTCCTGTTGCGAATACCACCTGGTTTACTTATTATCTCTGGTTTACTATTATCTGGTTTACTTATTATTGGTGCATCAATATGTCTAGACCCTTCTGATCTTCCCAGCTTTACCCGTGCCTTTTGAGTTCCCTTCTTCTCATTTCTCACCACTGATGGACAGTCATCCTTCCTTCCAAGAAGGGCTTAAGTCTGGTTGCCTTGACTCTAGATAATTTCCCTCCTCCTTAGCAATTCCACTTGTGATTGTCTGGACTCCTCGTGCCAGGTACAATTATCCTGTATTGTTAATTGTCTTTCTATGTCTGTAATTTGCTTCTGTGTTGTAGACATCATCATGGCACACTGCCATGCTTTTCTTACAGAATAGGTACTTAATATTCTATTATTCAATTTGCTAGAACTTTGCAATTTCATAAAGATAACTCTGTCATTAAAAATGTCTCCAGTGGGGATTTAGGGCCCTTGAGATGGTGCAAGAAAAGGAGATAAAGGGTTTTTTTTAAAGCTATTTGTTCTTCCTGTGCAAATTATATAACTTCCAATTATTTCCAACATTAAAGAAATAGTCCCTCTGAACCCTTTTAAATTATTCAAACATTAAAATGATTCACCAGTTTTTTTTTTTTTAAACTGCTGTGACCCTTCCAAAAATGTAAAAAAGAAGAAAGAAAACCCAAATATTGGCTCTTTTGGAGGAAAAATAAACTGACTGTGCTTTTTTTCCTCCAATATTCTGAAAGAACTGGGAATGCACAACAAAATGGCAGCGCTTGTGTGCACCTGAGTGTGTACACCTCACCTCTGTCTTGATTCCACTCTCCCTACCAAGCTTTCCTTGGGTAGCAGTCATGGAGCCATAGCCGGCACCAGTCACCTGAGCACTTCTCTCGCAAAGGAGACTTTGGTTTTCATCCCTGCCAGGGGGATTCAAGTGCTGCTCTCCTAAGGAGGAGAGCAGGTTTTCTTTGCTTGACTGTATTTCAACACCTTTGGTGGAATGACTCCAGCCAGCCACGATGCTTTTTTGCTTCCCAGCTTCTCCTAGAACCCTAGATGTAGCACCCTTTCGGTCCTCAACATTTACTTCCCTCTTTACTCACTGTATTAGTTTTCTGTTGCTATGTCATTACCAAAGCTTATTAATTTAAAGCAATACAAGGTGGGGCACAGTGGCTCATGCTTGTAATCCCAGCACTTTGGGAGGGCAAGGTGGGCAGATCACCTGAGGTCAGGAGTTCGAGACCAGCCTGGCCAACATAGTGAAACCCCATCTCTACTAAAAATACAAAAATTAGCCCAGTGTGGTGATGCATGCCTGTAGTCCCAGCTACTCGGGAGGCTGAGGCAGGAGAATTGCTTGAACCCAAGAGGCAGAGTTTGCAGTGAGCCGAGATCTCACCATCATATTTCATCCTGGACGACAGAGCAAGACTCCGTCTCAAAACAAACAAAAACACACACGCAAATTTATTATCTCATGGTACCAGCTGGCTCCTCTGCTCAGGGTCTCACTAGGCCCAAAGCCCTGTGTCTCTGTCTGTCACCGCCATCATCCCACCACCCTGTCTCTGTGGCACGTTGTGCTTCACAGCTCAAGGTCATATTATCTGCATTTGGTTTTGAGACAATCATAACCTTATGACCACTTTCTCCATTCTTCTCTGCTAGCTGAGTTTCTCCAAGGCCTAAGACATAGGCCATGCCCTCACAATTCTATACTCAGGCACTTTCCAAACTCACACATTCCTTAATGCAGTGAAGAATTGATGCTCATGAGTGACATCCTACATTGAAAGGAAGAGACACGGCCGGGTGCAATGGATCATGCCTGTGATCCCAGCACTTTGGGAGGCCGAGGTGGGCGGATCACTTGATGTCAGGAGTTTGAGACTAGCCTGGCCAATATGGTGAAACCCTGTTTCTACTAAAAATACAAAAATTAGCTGGGCGTGGTGGCAGGCGCCTGTAATCCCAGCTGCCCAGGAGGCTGAGGCAGGAGAATCGCTTGAACCTGGGAGGCGGAGGTTGCAGTGAGCCGAGATCGCGCCACTGCACTCCAGCCTGGGTGACAAGAGTGAAACCCTGTCTCAAAAAAAAAAAAAAAAAAAAAAAAAAAAGGAAGAGACACAGTTACTTGGGGGATGGATGGCAAATGTTCTATTTAGAAATGCATTTGTAAAGCTCACCTTGTAGAGTTTCTTGTCATGCATCTTTTAAAAAACTAAATTAAAAACCTCGCATATTACACTGAGGATTTTCTCTTGAAAGAGACACAGAGACAGGGTCAAGTCACTGGGAATTTCATGCTTTGGAGGATTTTCTCAGAAGACTTTCTAAGAATAACTTCAATAAACTCCAGTAATCTGCAACCTACTTTTCTTTCTTTAAAACAAAGTTAGCTATGGAATTAATATTTGGAAAATGCAGAAAGCTTAAAGGAAATAAACATTTCCCGTGATCTTACCATCCACTGAAAACCATGGTTAACTTGACATGGGAGTGGGCTTGGGTTGGAAAAAAATAGGGAGAGAGCTTTATCTCTGGAAAGCATTGCGGGCTCCCTTCCACACTCACTTATTATCGTAGTGACACTGTAGGGGGAAGCACAAGCTATGTAAAGAGGACTTAATTTGGCAAGATCTACTGACTAGCGAGGGGCTAAAAAGAGATGAGTGGGGTGGAAGCAATGGTTTCCACAACACCTCCAAGATAAGGGGTACCACTTGTGCAAATTTAGCACCAGGGAGTGGGGCCAGGCCAGAACTTCAACTCAATATTTGTCAAGCCCTCAGTACACCTCCCAACCTAGAAAAACAATAAAAATGTTAATTTTTGAAATCACTAGCAAAATACTAAATACAATGTCAGTATTTTAAACGAAATTGCCCTGAGAGCACAGTTGTTTCTAATGACTTCCTCCTGCCTGATCCTCCATTTTTCTCTGTGGTCTTATCTTTCTGAACTTTTTTGCTGCAATTGGTGAGCATGGAAAGGCTGAAACCACTATTATCACCACTATTACTGCCCTCCCCTCTGCATTTGAACACCCCGCTGCATCCTGCACCTTGCCTCTTGCTTTATACTTGTTGCTCTGGATGAGGTCCCATGTATTATCCTCAGCCTGGGATTTTCAGGCTCCTAGAAGACATTTCCTTTTACTGACACATGGACACGTGCAATTGCAGCCAAAGGTGAATTGGTTGTCAAGTGTCCCCTCAGCTTGGCTCCTCTCTGCCCTCTCACTGCCTCCTGACATCTGATCAGCTCTTATCCGCCCCTTAGAGGGACCATCATTTCAGTTATTAGCTATTCTTGTGTATACCTGCTGGTTTTCACTTCCTTGTATTTGCTCAGACATTTTTTTCCACCAAGAAGGCAGATGCTTCAAAACCCCGATGGACACTGCCTTTCAGAAGCTCTGCCTAAAAAAAAACCCACCTACATCTCCTACTTGGCATCCTCCAAGCACTCGTGTGTTTAGGCTGGGCTATGTATATTTTCACATTTTATGTTGTTTTCATTCTTGACTTTATAGTGATGACAATACTACTTACTACTTATTTAAGGACTAGCACGTGCCAGGACATCTCTCTCTCTCTTTTTTTTTTATAGGCAGAAGGAGAGGAAAAGCAGCTCAGAGTACTAAGGGGCTATGATTGGAAGGGTGTCAAGAACCAGCTCTCTCACCCTCAAAAGGCCTTCCTGGCCCAGCTGGTCCTGCCTAAATTCTCTCATCAGAGTGCAGGTCACTGGGGAGTAAAGATGCTCACCCCTCACCTCTTTCACCCCTCCACGCCTGCCCACCCCATCTCCACTGTTCAGTGCAAAGGTTCCTGGGAACAGCAACATTCTAAACTGTTAACAGCTGAAGCCTTCCAAAGGATTCTGTCCCCCAGTGACAGTTGGCTGAGGACCGTGAAAGAGAGAGGTCCTTCAGGGTTGGGAGTGAGACCAAGAGGGAAGGGAAATTACCAGCCTCAGGAAGAAGCAGACTCCCAGGCTGAGCTCCTCACAGCCTACTCCTCCCCAAACCATGCCTGCAAACCTCCTTGAGGGTTTATGGGGCATTGCTCTGCAAGGGACTCAGAGATGAATCAGACATGGATCCTGCCCTTGAGGAGCTTACTGTCTACTGGCAAAAAGTGCCAAGTACAATTTCAACCCAGGGAAATTTCAAGGGTTGTAGGACTTCAGAAGAGAGAAAGATACGGGCTGGACATCAAAGAAGGCCTGCTAGAGGAAGTCGCATTTGAGCTGGACCTCGAAAGATGGCAGGGGACTTTCCACAGGCAGAGCCTGGAGGTGGTGCTAGTTACAGAGCAGACACCTTCAGTCTGAGGCTGTGATCTGTGAGGGCGGTGGAGAGGGGGGAAAGCCAGGGAAGGGTAAAAGGCCAAGGAGACCCTGATCACCTTCCCTAGTAAGAGGACACCAAGGATCACGCTTTGCCTGCTTTAACATCTTGCCTACCATTGCCCTGATGAAAATAGGCCGCTGTTTTGAATTAGCTAAAAGTTGAGAACTCAGACTTGGATTTGACAAGTGCCCTCTGAGGGCAGTTAAACCAACTCTCAGCCCTATGATTCTATGAGTCTGTGATTCCCAGGTGGAGCCAATGACACACCTTTGGGACTAGGCAAGTCCTCTTGGTCAGCGAATTCCCTCAGGGGAATAATGCTCCTTCACAGGAGAATAGCAGATGGAGAAATCCCCAAAAGTGAATATGTCCAGGACTGCTCAATTGAATTTGCAATAGTTCCAGATTATTGACTAGCTCATGCCTGTCAGCAGAGTGAGAATGGACACATACTTTGAAGAGTATGAGGGCAGGTAGAGGTGAAGAAAAAGACTGAAGGTGGCATTAGATGGCAAGAACATGACAGTGAGGTACTTGATGAGAACCTCCCAAAAATGATCAAGAAGGGGTAACTGGGTGATAAAGGGGGAGGTTAAGAAGCCTATACTTTATTGTACCTGGTTTTCTTCCCCCACTGTTGCTATTTTAGAATTGCAGCTCTACATTTTGTGGAGGTTACGGAGGGAATCTTGTGAATTTTTTTTCTCTGACAGGGAAATAATTACCAAAATCTTAACTTTTATAATATTTGTGCAAATTTCAAAAATAAGTTTTGTTTTATCTTTGGTGGCACCACATGCTTTGGACTTTTGTTTTTAAATCCCAGCATAACCAGTGTTTTCCCAGGATTCTAATCATTCCCAGTGGGCTGAATTTAGCCAGCAATAAACCTAGCCTTGCAAAGACAAAGCAACCAGTGATATTTGTTAAAATAGAAGCTGACAGATAAATCAGGTCTAGTCAATCAAAGGATGAAGAGCAGAAGACTTAGGCCAGAGAGAGCACTAGCATGTGTTGGATGGCCAGAAAAAGAAGGGAAGGAAGGCATGCAGGGGGTCAGCCCAAATAGGGGTCAGTATGCAGGGCTCTGGCCTCCAATCCTAAGACCCCTTGGGAGGGGAAGAGCATTCATTTTCTACTTCACTTTTTATGTACCTGCCTTGGCGGAAGAAGCCTTGGTCTTGGAGGTGTAGCCCCTGCATCCAAAATGAGATGAAGCCTGCCTCTGTCAAGTCAGGACCAGAAAGGCTAAGTTGATCTAACTTGGAAAGGAAGCTTTGTGCTATCTCAGTTTTATGCTCAGTGTCTGCCTTTGAGGGGCAAGAACAGCCACAGAGAACAAAGAATCTCAGGATATCAGAGAGAGGAGGCAACATAGCCAAGTCCAGTATGAGAAACCTGCCTTCTGGAGATTTCTTCATATAGCTGTTCTTTCAGCTGGTCTCTCCAGCTTCTGTCTGCCCCCAGTAGGTTGCCTCAAAGGCCCTTTTCCTATGATCATTCCAAGCCCCAGCGAAATACCTGTTTAATGCTCAATGTGGCAGTCCCCTTTGGATCTGACTTCCCTTCTGACAGCTTCCCCACCACCCTGTGAACTGGTTCCATTGTCTTCCCTGGAAAGGTAGTTCCCTTTCTTAGCTTCCTATTCACTTCTGTTCACCTCTTTTTCCTTCCTGCTGTTTCTCCAAAAACACTTTGCTGGCCTCCAATAATATTGGTGTTCAAATTCAGTTTGGGACCTACCACTGTTTTATGTCTCTGTGGGTTACAATTTTCTTTGAGGAATGTCCTCATAACCATATATTTTTAAACTAAATAGTTTGCATGAATAGGGATCCCCAAGCATTTGATACAATAAGAAAGGCATAGAACGGGGGTGTAATTTGGGGGCAAGCATGTTCGCTGTAGGAGGCAAAGGCAGCAGGAGCTGCTGGTTCCCAGTATAGGGTTGGAGGAGGAGCTGCTGGTGGTACTGCTCACATGCTGCATTCAGGCTGCTGGCACAGGGGGTTCCGGAGCTCCAGGCCTGGCAGGCATGGTGGGAGGAGCAGGCCCTTTGTGGTCTTTTTGAAACTGATTGGGGAACAAGGGGTCAGTTTCACTCAATTCTCCTACAGGTGACTCAAACCTCTATCACACCCAACCATCTGCCCCAGAGATGATCTCTCCTATGAAAGCCGTTGAAATGCACCAAAGTGATTTATTGAGAGTCTTATCTCTCAATAAGAAGCTCATAGGCTACGTGCAGCCCTCTTGTTAGTTGTAGCTTAGGTCATAAGCGTAGAACCCAGTAAAACTGTGTAGAAAAATGTTGAAAGACTCCACAGAGCCTAGACAAGAAATTGAGATCATGGATTTGCCTTCTCTTTTAAAGACTCCTTAGGAGTCACTTCCTCCTCAAAACCCTTTTAATGGATTTCTATGAAGAAAATCATCTAAATAAGAGTTTTACTCAAACTGGGGTCAGTACTTCCTGGTGGCTCAGGACTCTGAGGGGAGCTGACAGACACGCTGCAGAAGCATACTGACAATGGTTTGGTCCTGCCTACCGGTTGCCGTTTCACTCTTCCTGTTGCTCAGATTGGCTGTGCATTCTCTTGCTTTCAAACAAATGTAACTGCATGAATGATAGTACTCCCATCCCCATTTCTGCCCAGCGAAATCCTACCTCTCCTCTTGGCTCAGCTCAAATGTCACCTCCTCTGTAGAACCTTCAATGAGTGTCCAGTGGGAGGTCAATATTCCCTCCTCTGGACTCAACCACCATTTGGTTGGGTGCTCCCCTACACTCTAAAAATGAGGGTGTTAGCAAAGGTCTTATCTCCCCTGCTGGGCTGTCAACAAGTGAGTAGAAGATTGCTGAGCATCGAAGCTAGGATAAGCCAGAAAGGTGGCACTTGTTTTTTCAGATGCCATTAAATTCCTGTAAAGGAACTTCTCACTGAGGGTGCTTATTCTGTGTGGGGGGAACTGCATGAAAACACTCCTCATGGCCTTTTCTTTGCAAAGGCACAGTTAGGTCTGCAAACGCAGAATTTGAGCAGCTGTGGCAAAGCAGCCCTGATCACATGGCCCATCTTTTCCATTCTCTAGCTGTCCTGACCAAAGGCCACAGTGGAAACAGTTCTAAGAGCCACAAGAGCTGTGGAGGCAGAAGTAGAGGAGGAAAGACAAATGTCAAAATTCTTGGATGATCCTGGGTAGCAACTGGCCAATGGGGGATGAGAATGGGTAACAGAGCCTTTCACCTTTGGGGTCAGCAGCATGTCTGGATTCAGGACCAGAAGGCCAAAACATCTGTCAGCTGGGCAGCAGCTCCTGTGAATGAATCGCCTTTGTCTTGTTGGAGGCAGGGATGAGTGTGAGTTTATTTGCTCAACAGAAAGCCATGTAAACCAGGGATCAGATGGAAGCCCTGGTGGTGGCAAGAAGCCCAGCAGCCCTTCAGACAGAAGATGCCCATCAACAATGGAGAGGAGTACACAGGACCTCCAAAGGAAAGGTCCTCTGTCTTGGCGGAAGGCCCCTCACGTCTTCGTGAAGCCCTCTGGGGCAGAAAAAGGCCTTGCCGGTTCCAGCAAACCTTCGTGGAGCATGGGGGTGGCAGATAGGGTGCCTGGTCCCAGCCACTCCTCTCCCAACTTCCCACTAGCCACGTGGGCAAACTCACATTAGCAATGAGCTCAGGCCTCCTTTGCTCATTTAAGGAAAAGCAGTGATCCCATTATCCCAGGGGTGATTCTTTGCCCCAGACGCAGCTTCTTTTTTCTAACTTCCTTCAGCCCTGCTGGCTTCTCCTCAGCAGTAGCTAATGTGGGATGATGATCAGCAGCAGTTGAGCTATTTTTAAGTCAACAAACTACCAATGCTAAGAGTTCCTGAGAAAGCCGGGGAATTTGGAGCCTCAGAAGCAAATGCTAAACGTGATTGATGGGCATGGAAGGGAATGTTCTGGACTGCTGTTCAAAAAAGGAATCCCTTGAATTTAATCTTAAAAATGGCCAAGCTGGAAGAGTCCTTAGAAACCATCTAGTCTGCTTTCTCCCTCCCTAGAAAATTTCTACAGATGAGAAAGTGAAGTGGATGATGGTTTAGGGCTGAGGCACTCAGCTGATGTAGAGCTGGAAGCCAGCTCTTCCTGATTCCTATGTGAATATTCTTTCCATAAAGATCAGTAGAATGTTTCTGGATTTCTTTGTTTTAATGAGTTTCAATTATCACACTTCATTTTTTGTAGCATGGGCTCCATAAAACTAAATTATTGTACAAACTCTAAGTTAATTAAACAAACCCCAGACACAGAGTAACTTAAATGACATTGGGGTATTAAATCTCAGTTTATAGTCAATGGACAGATAACTCTGAAATATCAGCTGGTGGCATATCCAGATCAGTAAGGAAGGACCACCTGAACAGTGGCGGCATTCCAGCTGGTATGT